AATTGTTGCAGGCTTTTTCAAAAGGTTATCATAATTAAAATCTGAAGATACGTTTCTAACGTTTGCTCTAATCATAGACACAAAACCTAGCAACATGGCAACATTTATTGTATATACCACTATGAACAATGTTCAGATATGTTCAGCAAAATGCTATACAAACTTTAGAGCAGCAATTGTTTATTGTTGCCCTACAAGAAAAAAATGGTCTATGGCAGACGTTATTTACTACCACATTATAAGAGGAGGATTGCATGGGCTTTCATCTTTTCTATATCAACAGTTGGCAAATTATTGGTTTTAGCTGAGCTATATGACTTACATGTTGACTCTGAAATTTATGCTCGAAATACAGTAACAGATTATAATTTCCGAACAGTTTAATCGTGGTGTTCCAGAATTAACACTGCCATATGAGGCTCTCATTGTTCCTTTATTCAAAACATTTTCCAATTGACGCATATACATAAATTGTATTAAAAGTATTGAACCTTACGTATGGAAGGCGTCCATTGACTGTCATAATTATTTATTTTGTTTCATCCAACTGAAAGCATTAAAGATGTTTTTACTTTTTTCAAGAACCATACATGTGTTTGAAGAATTGAGAACACATACCAGTTTTCATCGAGGGACTTACATGTATTTCATCGGAGATTCTTCAAGACCTTATTTTTAAATGCAAGGGTAAAGATCTTAAAATAAAAGCTGTGTATGCAACACATCAAATGTGGCTTGAACAAGTATTTAATCGTGTGCATGGTATGTGGGAATTAGGCATCATCTTAATCGTTAAGCCATTACTGAAGAAGACGATAATGAAAACGATATCTGAACAATATATGTTAAGTCGGAAATCTTGGGAAAATAATTGTACAACTGTTCTACTGTATATAACTCATGGAGTGTATAGACCACTTTGACTGTTCGGAATGTTTAAACCCAAGGATCATTAATGAGAAGCTTGGTGTTCGAAAAATGTTGTTCACTTTGCACAATTTGCATGTTAACGCACCCTTGTAGCAACTTTTTCTGAGGGGTCCATTGTAGGTTGCTGATGTCAAAATTCCTACCCATACAATCTCAATGTTCATAACAGAAAAAATATAAGCTAACCAACAGTACTTCATTTAAACGATTTTATTCACTTACCTAGTGAAATATTTGCTGCTGGCAACCAGTATATAATTAAACAGAAACATAATTATCTTCGATTCTTTTTAAGAAACCGTAATCTTTAAATGTACATGTAATGTAATTTTTTAACACTAATGAAAATCTCAACTACCGAACTTTGACTTTAAATTTTAAAAAAATGCACCATTTTCCGACTCTACGAGCAGGCAAAAATTAAAGTTTAGACATTTCTCTTAACTAAAATTCTAAATTTAGCCTGCAGGTAGGGTGGTTCATTAAAGTTGAAAATATGTTGGCTTGATCACTCCACTATTTGTATACTGTTGTTTGTCTTTTGGTCTTTTTTCATTTTCGTCTTATGAATTCGAATGTCCCTTTGGTATCTTTGTCTCTTTTCTAAAATAATATATCTATCTATTAAGATAATGCACCAACATATTTTATGTATGCACTTAGCTAAACCAGTTAAAGAAATCTATTTGTCGTGTCTTAAGCTAAAACACTTAAACAGTATAAAAAGCGCAGATAACTGGAGCACAAAAAACAATAAAATATTGATTCTTGCATCTAGTAGAAGAATGTACGACTAGAACATATGATAGCCGTTATGATGCAAACTCAGAAAAGAAAGAGGAAAACCATTAAAACAACACAAAAAAATATTAAAGCAGTATCAATAGATATTAAAGATGTGGTATGAGTGCCAATGAGACAACTCTCCATCCAAGTCAAAATTTATAAAAGTAAACCATTATAGGTCAAAGTACGGTCTTCAACACGGAGCCTTGGCTCACACCGAACAGCAAGCTATGAAGGGCCCCAAAAATTACTAGTGTAAAACCATTCAAACGGGAAAACCAACGGTCTAATCTATATAAAAAACGAGAAACGAGAAACACTTATGAATCACATCAACAAACGACAACTACTGAATACCAGATTCCTGACTTAGGACAGGTGCAAACAATTGCAGCGGGTTTAACCGTTTTAATGGTACCAAACCTTCACTCTCATCTGAAACAATAGTGTAACATCACAACATAGAAAGTATCAACTCTACTTAACTCATTGTTCCAAAACTTCTGCCTCCTCCTTTTATTCTAAAGTAAATCTGAACGAGCCTCAAGGGAGCAAAATGAGCACACCTAGTCGATATACGAGTAAGACGTTCTGCAGTATTTTTGAAATAACTCATGAAAAAAAAATAAAAAATAAATGCCTCCTTTAACAGAAACATCCACACAACAAATACAAAAAGTAACTGATACTGACAGTAACATGCCCTGCAGAGATATCAATGCGCGGAAACATCCAGGAACCCTTAAAAAGTTTTCTTAAAACGACAAAACTCTAGGATTTCAAAACACATATAAGAGACCTTACAGATTGCACCAATACCAGACTTTAAACATATCCGTTCCAAATATTTTCGCAAAGGTTGAACAATTCAATTTGAATTTTCTTAACAGTTACGTAGACATTAACGGTTCACACAATAAGTAATAAATAACATATCAAGAAAGGAATTAGACTTTTGGATACGCTTTCAATAACAATTTACCAAAATAGTCGCTTACATTCGTCCCGTCACTTGACCGAAACTCGCACAGGTAGCACTCCACAGAAAAATAAAATTAAAATTGAACCACAAAATGTTTAATCATCTTCCTGGCGTTCTAATACATTAAGCTAACTGTTTGTGTCATACATGTGCTTATGTATGTAATCAGTATCTTCCGTATATTTGAATTTCAAAGGTTAAAATGGTGAAAAATAATTCCTTTTTTTGTGTATCCATGGCAACATTCTGCATTTATTTACCATAAAATATCGCAAAAAAGGAGTATGAAAATGTCACATATTCACCCAAAATTTGGTTTAAACTAGAATTTCGATTCCTTTGAGTGATACCTTTTCTGAAACTGTTGATATTAATCTACCAAATGATCAAATAAAAATTGGGTGTCTATCGCATCATTTTTTCGTAAAATTTAATCACAAAGTTCGTGCGACAAAAAGTTGGAAAAAAAAACATTACACTAATTGCTACATCGATGTCTGGTATGGATATACGGTCATACAGAAAACGGCCCATTATACATACATTATACAATCTTGATGTTCCTATAAACCCACAATGAAGGCTTTATTAATCTTCAGCTATCCAAAAATGAATTTTATTTTACACTAGCTCTCATTTTTGGAAAATCCACAGGGCCAAAATGCGAAACTACACACCTAACTGTGGAGTGCTACCACAAAGGCAGTACAAATAATGACGTCATGATGATTAGCTCTCAATATCATCCCGAAAAATGCAATCTCAATTTTGTGCAGTTAGAGAATGGCTTCATGAAAAGACTGGTGTCAGAGGCTTTTATATTAAAATAATAATACTGATTAGTATTATTATCATTATAATAATTATCATTGCTTTATAACAATCACTATTTCTAATGTATACATGTTAACATATTGGGTAAAACAATTCTTTCAGTTTTGTAATATGACATTGAATAGTGCTTTCTTCTGATACTAAACGGAGTGTGATGGTAATAGGTGATACGGAAAAAATAGCTAATTTGTTTGGTATATCCTGATACGAATTGCGAAATTTCCATTGGCTATTCCTTTGGTCAATGATGACTTTCAAATGTCACAACGGAAAAGTTTTCCTTCGTGGCAAATAAGAAATGTTATTTTTTCAATAATATACAAATTCTCACAATGCCAATTAAAAGTCTTCTTTTTGTCAAATTTTATTATTGTAAAACGTACAAAGCGTTTAATTTTGATGCACTGTGGACATCGGAAAAGGAAATTTGCCGTGAACCTGTTCAGGTGCCAGAAAAAAACAACGTCTTGCGACATTTTTAATTCAACTAAAAGAAAAATGTAAACAACTCGAAAGATTTAAATATTGCTTGATATCAACTCTAGATAATAAGTTTTAATAATGATCATTAACTCACTAAAGGCTCTTTTGAAATTAAATAAATCGATGATATCAAGCGATATCAAATTCTGACACGTTAGGAAACCTCCAAATCAAAGTTTTTTGGTTTGAATATCAAAATACGGCAAAGTCATTCTTCAATATTCAGAGAAAATGTTTCAAATGGTGCCATTCATTACTTTTAATATACATAGTAGAATTTCGTGATCTATCTAAGCTTCTGAAATGGAGCCATTAAATCTAATCATCTTTGTTCTTAATTTCATTAATTTTATATTTGCCTAATTTACAGATTTCTTTTAACAATAAGTTAAAACAAAAATTTACTTTTGACTATTACCATTCAACAGAAATTTTAAGTAAAGTTATAATAGTAGTGCTTGCAAGTGCGTGACGATCGTGTGTTAATAGTTACATGATTTAAATTTGGTACATGCGTAGACTACTATCTTTTTTTTAGTGCACCTTTAAAGAAATTCAGGTTTTTTTTTAGTTTGCCGATAATATTTTGTAATTAAGAAAATTACCTCTAATCACGAAAAGACGGCTCAATTATAGTTAAAATAGTAGACACAATGAATATGCGTTGATTTTGTCAGGAAGGTATCTTTTTATCGAACTAACGGTTATGCATTGTATCTCCAGTTTTTAAACATGTGACCGTCGTATATGTACTTGTTATTGCATCTAATGATGTTCTAATATGTGGCTCGATTAGTGTTTATTAGATCACGATTGAAATGATTGACATGTTGCGACACAGTTCTGTCCTTTGCTTGTTTTGAACTGGTTTTTATACACTTTTAAAATTGATAATACTAGTAGTTTGCAACTGAAAGAGACTTAAGGCACAACTTATAGTAATGCGTTTGTTTGTATAATGAGTATATTTGTTTTCTTTCTTTAGGATTTCAGATCGTTGATTCGAGTCCTGCCTCTAGTTCTTGTGGGCCATTTAACTGTTATTATTCTTTTGATTGCGGATTTGGGTATCCGGATTGCGTCACAAACTGTAGGAAATACAAGGGATGTGCTACAGCAGAATGCATACACAATTCGTGGTGTTGCTGTAAGCAGTGTCATTGAAAGTACAGAGAATAATTCTTTCATCAATAAAAGACATATTTAGCGCCTGTTATGTTATGCGTTTCAATATTTTTATATTTGTCATTTACATTTCAATAAGTTGCGATGATCTTACAGACGAAAATACGCCTCTTGACAATAAGTAGGTCTTTCTGTTTATAAGAGTGTTGTGACCTTGAATACTGCCATTTTGAAGACAATTGGTTAAAATACATCGGATTATCATGCATATAAAACATTTGAACATTCAGAAGTTAAACAAAAGAAATCTTTTAGAAACAAAGCTGGTATTTAGAATTCCAAATGTTGCACCACTCAAGTTCTTTCAGTTTAAACCACATTTAAGAGGAATTTACAAGAAATGCATAGAAACTGTTATTTATTTCTTTTTTGAAAGTTTATAATACTGTTGTGACCTTGAACACTGCCATTTTGATGACAATTGATAAAATACATCGGAATATCATGCATATAAAACATTTGAACATTCCAAAAGTAAACAAAGAAATCTTTTTAAAACAAAGCTGGTATTTAGAATTCCAAATGTTGCACCACCCAAGTTCTTTCAGCTTACATCACATTTGAGAGGAATTTACAAGAAACAAATAGAAACTGTTATTTATTTCTTATTCGAAAGTGATTTTTCATATAAACAAAATCGATGTTATCACATTCAACGTCTTTCAATAGACTATGATCACCAATTCTAACCTCCAAACAATCTTTATTGTCATATAATTTATCTGGTTGGCAGGGCAGGGATGACAAACCGGTGGGTCGATTATGCGATATGTCGATGTCACCTCCAATTAGATTCATGGACATTATCTATTCCATATACTAGTAACAAGAAGTCTCCTTACAGAACGAATTTGTAAATACGTTTCTCAGGCCCCTGTATTTTAATTTACATTATCCATATTTCTCTCCTTACTCTTGGCACAATTCTTTGGATATTTTCCGACCCATTTGGCTCAGCAAAAACTATTTTTTTTAAATAAAAATAGTAAAAAAGTCGCAAATCTGGTCGAAATGAATGTAGTATCCAATTTTGTACATGTACACAATTCAAGGGGGGAGAAGGAAGGAACAGGAAACTTTGAATTTATTTGAAATTTCATGTTTTATGTCATAAATGTAGTTGATACCAATTTTATTGCATTTTGTAATATGTCGATATCTTTTTACCAAGAACATTTTAATTGATTGATAGATGGCTTTAAAAGCCACTTTCAGCACTATTGGCTATTTTGCTTGGCCACCAAGGCCCTTCAAACACAGTTTGAAAAATTGCATTCAAAAGTCATACAGCTTTCTTAGCTAGGTATAAATCTGCTGGTTTAAGAATCCTTCGTCTTATCCAAAAATTGTAATCAATCATTTTCTCTGAATCAACTTATACAGTAATACATGTAATGGTTGTATTTATTTTGTCAATAATTGTTAAGTTTGGACAGAATATAACACTGTAAATACATTGTTAAGAACAGACATGCTAATCTTAAAATTACACGTACGTTAACATACGTGATATTGTTAGGGTAGTACTCAAAGCAAGAAATAATTTGATTCCAATCATTTGATATAAGGCCTTCATGCAGGTCAAAGGCGAAGTCTCATAAACATTATATTCATTCAAGTTTTGTGGATATGTTATGTATTTTCTAGGTGGATTTGAATAAGAGGCGAAAGATACCACAGGGACATTAAAAAAAAACACAATTCGAAACATTATCTCTTTAGAATTGAAGAATGTCTTTACTATATTTTAGTATTAAAAACCAGAAATAGTTATAGAATATTTCATTTGTATTCTATTTCAAATGAGAGGTGAAAGATACCAAAGTGACATTCAAAAAGTCGGATATAAACTGACAACCCCCATGGCAAAAAAAGAAAAAAGATCAAAAGACATACAACACTATACAAAACACAACGTAAAAATCTAAGGACTGAGTAACACGAACCCCACCAAAACAACGTGGGTGATCTCAGGTGCTCCGGAAGGGTAAACAGATCCTGCTCCACATGTGACACCGTCGTGTTGATCATGTTAGTTCACACCATGTGATAAATCTAATTCGGTAGGTCTCATTCGGGGAAAAAGAGGACGGGACTTTGGTTAAGACGAACAAGGTATTCCATAACGGTCAACCAACTTGTGATGGCGTCCGTAAAATTTTCGAAGGGATTTCAACTTCATCACTTGGAACTCTTAGTTTATTTGCTTCCTTGTGAGCAGCAACCCTCTATCAAGGAAATCATGATAGGAAACGCAAGCCTTGGAATATCGTATCAAGTGGGAGATATATATACTCCAAATGCAGGTGCTGCTAGAATGTTGCTACATAGAAATGGAAATTTCACAATTGGAAAGCTGAAATCATCTCTTTTGTCGTAAAGTTTTGTTCTCAACCGACCATAATTGTCAATTTCTAGATGTAAGTCAAAATATAAGGCAGATTTAACTGCATCTGTTGTATTCTTTATCTCAAAATATAACTCAATCAAAGTTTTGGGCATATAGGTTGAATTCGGCACATGCCAAACTTGCAATAAAAGTTTTTCTAAAACAGATTTTATATTTGAGTCAAGATATGAGGCAGATTTAATTGCATCTGTTGTATTCTTTATTTCCAATTCAATATTTGAATTAATAGTATTTAGTGAGAGGACATCATCTATATAGGGGAAAGCGAAATAACCTTACATGTGATCAGATACAAAGATCAAAATGACTTTACTGACAAAATAGGATCATCAAAATTGTTCACTAAAGAATACAAGTAAATGTATCGTTGTTAGTTTTAATCCAGCCTTGTACAAATTACTTGATTATTTTCAATTTAACAAAAATTAACTTGATGAATCATTGTTTTCCCCAGGAAGATATATGAAGTAACGTTAATGCAATTTGTAAGTTTTATAAAATTAAAAATTAAAACATCAATCAAGCAATAAACGACATGATAGAAAAGATGTACTCTTGGTTGTTATAAGAAGTCAATAATGAAAGTGTCTAAACATGAATTCAAGGTAACAAAACTGAACCTGTATAAAGTCGCATGTCGGCACTTTCTTGAGCATTCTTATTTGTCATTTAATCAAAGTAAGTTATTTTCCTTTTTTTGTATAACAAATTATAGAGTATACACAATTGAAAAATAATGTTTTAAGGTAGACCATTTAATCTCTGAATTTTGACAATCTTTGCAAGTGTAAACTGTAAACCGTCGGAAAAAGAACATATAAGAAAATACAAAGAAACCCATAGCTTGAACCAGCAACGAATCATGTAGATTTTTATTTTAAGTTAAAGTGCGTGCTTTATCTATTTGGTTGGAATATTTATTTGATAAAAAAAAATAATAATTGCATATTTCAAATATATAACTGATAATTTAATTTTCGCATCTGTCCTGTTATTCCATATCAACGATGAAGTTGCTAATTGTTGTGTTGTTTGTCGCAACCTTTGTTACAGATGAGTAATCATATATGTATCGGTTAGTCTATGGAAAGATATATATATACTATGAAATTTAGAACGAGGGGCTTGCCCCGAGCACTTAATTTCATAGTATATACCTTTCCATAGACTATCCAATTTGACACATATTTACAATTCGAGTAATCTTTTAATTAGTCTATGACAGCTCATTTTGACTGACTTCTTGTTTCACAGGTGTTTGTTAAACGGAGTTCATTATCGAAGTTTTATGTTTTGTAAAATTTACTCACTAGTATCATATTTGTTCAATTTGGGAAATAATTTTTTAGATCACCAGTTTATAAAAAATATGTTATTTTAAAAGGCCCTTGAATCCAGAGTGAAAAGATGGTAACTCCTGGTGTAAGTATGTTTATTAACATAAAGAGATATGCGTTTTACATGTTTTGCTAACATTTTTCAATTTCATAAAAATATATATAAATATGATCAAAAGCTATTCTAGCCGATAGACATTAAAAAGCGAGTAGAAATAGATCAATTATAATATTGCAGGTTTAGTTTTTATATTTCAAAGTAAAAATCAAAAGCTTTATCAGAATAAAGATATTGGTGGCATATTCCCTTCAGGCATCACGCCTTCAATTCATCATGAATTGAAAAATCCGTAAGAACGTAAAAAAACTGATGATGATGATGATGATGATGATGATGATGATGATGATGATGATGATGATGATCATCATCATCATGAATTTCCCTTCACAAGGTTTCATAGTACATACATTTTTGTGTATAATCATAATAATGTTACTGTATGGATGATGAATTACCACACTGTTTATTCTTTATATATATATATATATAAATAATAGAAAACTGTATTTTTGAAACCAAAGATTTTAATGGCAGGAAATGTAAAAAATTTAACTACAAACACTTTTTTTTTTAATTTGGTACACAAAATCTTATTCCAAAATAGCCAGTGGCACTTTTTGTTTTTAATATCTTGATTACGATACAATGAAATCTTATTCTGGTGGTCATTCATGCATAGTTACTTGGCACACGGGAAAAGTATGTACTATGAAAATCAGAACACAAATTCAAGCAATATAATTGGACGAGAAGTTGTAAGTATGTGCTAAATTCGTCACATGATCACTTGTGCTTTTATGTTATGAAAATACACACATGATAAAGGGACTGTCAATTTCTCTTTTGATTATTGCTATGATTTCATTTATAATAATTATTGTCTTTAATTTCCTACTGTATTATTATAATTACTTATGTTAATATATTAAATTTTGTAGGACTTATACCTCAAATTACTTTCCCGACATTTAAGGTGAGAAATCGTAATGTATATAAATGCATTCATGAAATTACATCTCTTTTGTAAACTCCAAAAATTGTATCAGTAATCTGCATAAGAAATCAGCGCCACTACCACAACTACAATTCTTACAACATCAGCAATGATTTCTTTCAAAGCAATAGCAGAAATCACTAAAGTAATCAATACCGCCGTCACTGACAACACCTTTATTACCCCCTCGATTCCTCCTTCTTTCTAAAAAAATCATGAAAAGTCTACA